AAGTCTGCATCCATCTTGAGAACTCATCTTGGGGCTGTGGTGCACAGCATCACCCCAGCACCCCTCTGGACTGAGCATAGCCTGCCGCATCTGTGTTACGGGGACAGCTGCCCAGAGAACAGGCCAGGCCCGCATGCGCCTTGGGCAGGACCCCGTCTAGTCTCCCTGGATCATCAGCCAGCTCCCCACATGAGAACCTGGTTCTGACTCACTCAGGCATGGCCTCATGAGCCTCCTGTTGCTCTGCTCCCTGAGACGATGCTCTTGTCACTGAACTGTTTAATCACTTCACTTAGAGCTGCATCATTTAGCATTGCCGTGGAGTTTTCCTTGACAGCACACAGGGGGGAGCCGTACAAAGAGCTGACACATGGGTGCCACCGGAGACACAGTGACAGCACTCAGAAAGGTTCTCGGCACATCTCACAGGGAGCATGAGGTGGATAGGCACATCACATTTCCCCCCAGCGTTCTACATTCCTACACATGTATAACAGTTCCTCTCACCCCCTCCCTCCGATCAAAGCAACCAGCGTCACTTGTACTCTCTACACCCCGAGGCACAGAACAGTCTAGAGCTCAGGAGTGAGGAGTATGTGTAGATGTACCGCTGCTTTGGGGTTTGCCCCGGTGCTCTGCCTTGCTCTGCATGCAGAAGGCTGACCAGTGTGGACTCCATGACCTGGCCTCCTTCACTGTCACAAGTTGGTCTTATGAAAGAAAGTATGGAAATGCAGTGTGAGATGCAAGATGTTTATAAGGTATCAACAGGCAGGAAAGAATAGGAGGAAGAAATCACACTGTGATGAGGACTCCATCAAGCCTCGGGAACCGAGCAGGAAGCTCTGATGCAGGTCTTGTCCATGTCAGTGTCCTGCGTTAGGTCAACGTGTTCTTGTTAGCTGCTGTCTACTCATAATCCAACTCATGGTAGCGCCATACCCAAGGAGTGAAACGCTGTCCGCGGTCCTGAACCGTTGCATGCTCCATTAAGGACGGGATCATTGTGAGCCATAGGATTGTCAATGTCTTGGATGGGGTGGTAGATCATCAGGATTGCCTTCCTCGCTCATCTTAGTCTGAAAGATTGACTTCAGCATCTCAGTACCTTGCAATCCTCCGCTGAGAGATGGGATGGTGGTAGTACGTGAGGTGTGATGGCCAGGAGTCAACTCTGGGTTTCCTGCATGGGAGGTGAGAATTGAACCCCTGAACCAACTTCCTATTGCATCAACAGATATGGCCCTTTATATGCTCATCTTGCTCAGTTATTTAATGCAGGTTGCTTCAAGTCGAATGTGACCTTGGTGAATGGCTCTCTGCAGAGAAGCAGTAAGACTTTGATTAAGATGCCACACATCTACCCCTTCTACATTTGTCCTAATGGATGAGCCCGACTAAGAGGCAGAGAGAGAGAAAATGAGTTTGGGTGTTTCTTTTGCAGGCTATTTTGATGGTAGGCCCAATTTGGAAGCAATTGATTTTCCTTTCAAAAGTCACAACCCTTGCTGGGTGACACCCCTGCCATGACTACAATACATGCTGAGTTCCAGTAATAATATCCTTCCCTCGTCCCCGGAGGTCCTGGTAGTGATAACTGCAAAAAACCACACTCATGGCCTTTGAGCCAATTCCACCTCATAGCAACCCTCTAGGACAAGGTAGAACTGCCCCTGGGGTTTTCTGAGGCTAACGCTTTGTGAAAGTAGATCGCTTAGTCTTTCTCCCACGGAGTGGCTGCTGGTGGTTTCAAACTTCTGACTTTGCAGTTAGAAGCCCCACCTGTAACCACTACCTCACCGGAGTACCTCAGTCATGATAACAGCTCTCCTCTGTTGCTGCTTCACTA